TCGCCAGTAGGAGCAAGGACGCTACTAGGGGCTCGCATCGCTACTAGGAGCAAGGATGCTACTAGGGCCTGGGCTCCTGGCATCGCTACTGGTAGCAAGGCCGCTAGTAGTAACAAGAAGATTCTCCAGCCTGTGCTGCTTGCACCGAGCCGATGTGCACCCCGCGCAAGGAGCAGGCCAAGCCTCACGCTCGAGGCACGCGCGGCTCCAAACGCTTTGCACTTCAACTGATGAAGTCATACCCACTCCTCCAATGGGGCAACTTGCGGGAAGCAATAATCTTGCACCTTCCCTTCAGTTGCCCTCCAATAGGGCAACTGTGGGAAACATAATAACTGTTAGTTGTTTTATAGACTATTTATAAATGAAAGAAGAAAATTGTCTTCGAACTGCCTGGAAAAGCTGCAGGTATTCACAGATCAGCACTGAGACGTGACCAAGGTCAAGGATGTGAAGGATGAGGATGAAAACAGGGAGAAGTGTGCATCAGATGCGTTCACAAAACTTATGTGGACATACATGTGCAGTCTCCCCTGTCTACAGCCCCACGCAGGTCACTTTGGTCCAGCTTCAAAGCAGGCTATTGCCGGACAACGTCTCTCTACCGATCCCTCACAGTCTCAGGTATTCACGGAGATGATCATCAGCACTGAGCTCATCAAAGAGGATGTCCTCAGAGCCGCATTGCACAAAAAGCCTTTGAGTGATAACCCTCCTGGGTACTCGTCTTGAGCAAAGAGTATCTATTCACCAAGTTGCAAACGAACACCAAAAGGTAAGCATGGCCGAACAAGCTCGCCATAGCAAACACTTGCCATGTCAAGCTCAAAACGCCCGAGGAAGAACATGTCTTGAACGAGTAGCGTGTGAAGTCTTCGTGTGGGTCCCCCCACATGCTGGGGACAAACGCCCAAGAAGCGCCGAGCTTCTTCAGGATGTTGTGCAACCTGAGGCAAATCCAAAATGTCGTCCGGAAGTGTCCAAAGTGTTGCCCAAGGCGCGAAGTTGTGGCGGATGTTACAAAAGCTGTCAACAAGGCCCTGAGATTCTTCAAGCCCTGGCTACTCGATGGAATCTCTCAAAGGTGCCAGCAAGCTAGGAGACTACAACTCCAACGCACAAACTGCAACAACACTTAAGCATACTTAAACAACTTTGGGGCATGCAAGGTTGTCACGCGCAGCAAGGAAAGCAATGCGTCAAGCCAGAGAAAGGGACAAAGCAGCCTCTTTCCATGATCAATGTGCTTTTCTTTTAACAATCACAGCGGCAATTCTTGATCCTGCTCAGCTCCATGCATCAAATCCGTGGATCGTCACACGCCCCTGGCACGCTAGGCACATCAGGGACATCGGGATGTTGTCTTGGACCTGTTGCTAGGCTAGGACCCATAGATTCTTCGCATAAAACAAGATGGAACCCACGAACCCGAATGCAAACACGTTCGAAAAACTACATATGTCCAAATGACACTCTTGTAGGACACTCTTGTGGGACAGTCTTCTGGGACACTCTTGAGTGGAGCAGTTGTTTTGCCGCAAGAAGGATGTTGAGGCTCAAGCGGCACAGATTGCCCTAGAAGCAGGACTCTACTCAGCATGAACACATGGAATGATGGTGTCGAAGATCCTTTCACAGAGTCCTTTTGCGCGGCGGGTGCCACAGAGACCGCGGCAGGGTATGCGAGGAATCACGTCTTTCCCGATTCCCCGGAGCTCAATGAACCTTCTCTCGATGAGATGAGCCCAGAAGCACTGGAGAACCTCTGGCGATCTGCACACAGCGACGCTGAGGAATGCGAAGAGCGGCTCATTGCATATCTCAAGCAGGAGCACAAGCAGACCGTCGAGAGGACCGAGCAACTTGGGATGGAGATTAAGAACCAGGATCGTATTATGAAGGATATGAAGGCCCAAATCAATGAACTGAGAAGCAGGCAACCAGTTGCGCAAGCTGCGATCCAAAGGCTCAAGAATAACAAAGAAGCCTTAGAACGAGACTTGGAGAGGAGCAACGCAAGCGCTGCAAGACAGAATCGAGAGGCACATCTTCCACCATGCATTCGCATTGCGAAGAGACATTTGGAGGGAGATCCCGGCTACATGAGCGTCCAAAAAGATGTCATGGTGGTGGCCACGCACTTTGAGACACTCCCTTGTGAGACACTCTTGTAGGACACTCTTGTGGGTCACTCTTACAAGACACTCTTGTGGGACACTCTTGTGGGACACTCTTGTAGGACACTCTTGTAGGACACTCTTGTGGGACACTCTTGTGGGACACTCTTGTAGGACACTCTTGTGGGTCACTCTTGTAGGACACTCTTGTGGGACACTCTTGTAGGACACTCTTGTGGGACACTCTTACAGGACACTCTTGTGGGACACTCTTGTGGGACACTCTTGTCGGACACTCTTGTCGGACACTCTTGTAGGACACTCTTGTGGGACACTCTTGAGAGACACTCTTGTAGGACACTCTTGTGGGTCACTTGCAGGACACTCTTGTGGGACACTCTTACACGACGCTCTTGTAGGACACTCTTGTGGGACACTCTTGTGGGACACTCCTGTAGGAAACTCTTGTGGGACACTCTTGTAGGACACTCTTGTGGGACACTCTTGTGGGACACTCTTGTGGGACACTCTTGTGGGATACTCTTGTCGGACACTCTTAACGGACACTCTTGTGGGACACTCTTGAGCGACACTGTTGCGGGACACTCTTGTGGGACACTCTTGTGGGACACTCTTGTGGGACACTCTTGTAGGACACTCTTGTGGGACACTCTTGTAGGACACTCTTGTGGGACACTCTTGTGAAACACTCTTGTCGGACACTCTTGTGGGGTATACTGGTATACTCCTGTAGGACACCCTTAAGGGACACTCTTGTGAGACACTCTTGTGGGACACTGTTGCGGGACACTCTTGTGGGACACTCTTGTGGGACTCTTCCAGCTCCCCGGATACTCCGCGTACTCAAGTTGTACTACAAGGTCGCCAGTTCTCAGCTTCCAGCTCCACAGATTGCTCCGCGTACTAAAGTTGTACTACAAAGTCGCCAGTTCTCAGCTTCCAGCTCCACAGATTGCTCCGCGAAATAAAGTTGTACTACCAAGTCACCAGTTCTCATCTTCCAGCTCCCCAGATACTTGCACTACAAAGTCGCCAGTGCTCATCTTCCAGCTCCCCAGATACACCGCGTACTAAAGTTGTACTACCAAGTTGCCAGTTCTCATCTTTCAGCTCCCCAGATACTCCGCGTACTAAAGTTGTACTACAAAGTCGCCAGTTCTCATCTTCCAGCTCTCCAGATACTCCGCGTACTAAAGTTGTACTACCATCTTCCAGCTCCCCAGATAATCCGCGCACTAAAGTTGTACTACAAAGTCGCCAGTTCTCATCTTCCAGCTCCCCAGATATTCCGCGTACTCAAGTTGTACTACAAGGTCGCCAGTTCTCAGCTTCCAGCTCCACAGATTGCTCCGCGTACTAAAGTTCTACTACAAAGTCGCCAGTTCTCAGCTTCCAGCTCCACAGATTCCTCCGCGTACTAAAGTTGTACTACCAAGTCACCAGTTCTCATCTTCCAGCTCCCCAGATACGCCCGCGCATGGGACAAATCGCACTCTCGCCTGCACTTCGTGCACTCGACACGCACGATCTCCGCAGAGGGTTGCGCGCGCATGGGACAAATCGCACTCTCGCCTGCATTTCGCGCGCTCGACACGCACGATCTCCGCAGAGGGTTGCGCGGGCACCGGACAAATCGCCCTCTCGCCTGCATTTCGCGCACTCGACACGCACGATCTCCGCAGAGGGTTGCGCGCGCATGGGACACATCGCACTCTCGCCTGCATTTCGCGCGACACACGATCTCCACAGAGGGTTGCGCGGGCACCGGACAAATCGCACACTCGCCTGCATTTCGCGCACTCGACACGCACGATCTTCGCAGAGGGTTGTCACCGGACAAATCGCACTCTCGCCTGCATTTCGCGCACTCGACACGCACGATCTCCGCAGAGGGTTGCGGACAAGTCGCACTCTCGCCTGCATTTCGCGCACTCGGCACGCACGATTTCTGCAGAGGGTTGCGCGCGCATGGGACAAATCGCACTCT